AAGACAGACACACTGACACAGACACAGATGGAGACAACCACAGACACACAGACACTGACAGACTGACACCGGACACACAGGCACTGAAAGACATAAGGACAGACACAGGACACACAGGTGGCAGACAGACAGACACACACAGAACACAGCACATAGACAGACATCGGACCACACAAAGACAGAGACAGACAGAGGAAAAAGGACAGACACAAAGACAGACACAGGACATGGAGGGACACACATAAGGTGGTAGATGGACACATGCACAGAGGAAGACAAAAGGATGGAGCACACAGGGTGGACAACAGGTAGGACAGATAGATGTAAGGTTATACACCGATGGGTTAATACAGGTAGGACAGATAGATGTAAGGTTATACACCGATGGGTTAATACAGGTAAGGACAGATAGATGTAAGGTTATACACCGATGGGTTAATACAGGTAAGGACAGATAGATGGAGGTTATACACCGATGGTTAATACAGGTAGGGACAGATAGATGTAAGGTTATACACCGATGGGTTAATACAGGTAAGGACAGATAGTAAGGTTATACACCGATGGGTTAATACAGGTAAGGACAGATAGATGTAAGGTTATACACCGATGGGTTAATACAGGTAAGGACAGATAGATGTAGGTTATACACCGATGGGTACAGGTAAGGACAGATAGATGTAAGGTTATACACCGATGGGTTAATACAGGACAGATAGATGTAAGGTTATACACCGATGGGTTAATACAGGTAAGGACAGATAGATGTAAGGTTATACACCGATGGGTTAATACAGGTAAGGACAGATAGATGTAAGGTTATACACCGATGGGTTAATACAGGTAAGGACAGATAGATGTAAGGTTATACACCGATGGGTTAATACAGGTAAGGACAGATAGATGTAGGTTATACACCGATGGGTTAATACAGGTAAGGACAGATAGATGTAAGGTTATACACCGATGGGTTAATACAGGTAAGGACAGATAGATGTAAGGTTATACACCGATGGGTTAATACAGGTAAGGACAGATAGATGTAAGGTTATACACCGATGGGTTAATACAGGTAAGGACAGATAGATGTAAGGTTATACACCGATGGGTTAATACAGGTAAGGACAGATAGATGTAAGGTTATACCGATGGGTTAATACAGGTAAGGACAGATAGATGTAGGTTAATGACAGATATGCATAATAATCGATGGCTAATACAAGCAAGGCCAGATAGATGGAGGGCCATACAACCAATGGGTCAATACAGGGCAGGTAGACGGGACATACCAATCGAGTTGGCCACACAGGCGACAGATAGATGTGGGCACACACAATCGGATGGGTTAATCACAGGCACAGATATAGGATGTATTATATTAACCGACATCACAGGTATGACAGATAGGTATTATCACACCGACAGAGGTCCGGATGGACAGACAGATAGAATCACACACACACTGATCATCACAGACACAGATAGGTCATACTAACCGATCGGCCAATCACATAGTACCGACAGATAGATACATATACTAACCGGATGGCCATCAGTGACAGATAGACACACACAGATGGCTAACACACATAGACAACTGACACACACCGGACACACAGCACAGACAGATGGAGTGGCCCCTAGGTGGAAGCACTGACAGATCCAGGTAGACACACAGACAGAGACTGGACACAGCACAGAGTATGGACAGATAGACTGACAGACACAGACACTGACACAGATGACAACTGACATGACAGACAACTGAGAAAGAGACACACACACAGACACAAGGAGGATGGACACCACATGGACCGGAAGGACAGATACCGAGACAAGGAGGGAGACCGAGACACTGACACAAGGACAGATAGAGACAACTGACACACACAGGCATGACAGGAGGAAGACACTGACACAGGTGACAGACACAACCGACACAGACAGATAACCGATGGACACACAGTGGTGACAGACACACTGGACAGCACAGCACAGGAGGATGCACACACCAAGCACAGAAAGACACTGAGTGGAAAGAAGGAGGATGCACACTGAGCACAGCAGGCAGAGATGGAAGAAAAGAAGAACACACAGACAGGACAGGAGACACTGACACACATGGCCAGGAGGATGGAGAATCCACACACAGGTGGTAGACACATAACGGAGGAACACACACAGTGGCACAGATAGACACACACAACGGATGGAAGCACAGAAAAGGAGGAATCGACACACAGATAGGACCGACACACACACATGTGACAGACAGATAACTGACAGACAAGGACAAGGATGGATGACCGGACACAAATAGAACTGACACAGGACAGACACACAGATGACATGACAGATAGACACAACTGACACACACAAGGACAGATAGATGGAGGGACACAGACACACATATGACACACACACACAGACAACCGACAAGGACAGACAGAGACCGATGACAGACACAGGACAGATAACTGACACACAGACACGAAAGATGAAGACCGACACAGATAGATGGACAACTGAACAGATCAGACACACTGACACACAGATGGCACAGATAGACCGACACTGACAGATATGCACTGGATGGACACGACATGGACAGATAGGTGGAGACCGACACACACAGAAAGATGGGACAGACAGACACCGATGTACTGAAAAACAGGACAGATAGTGGCACTGGATGCACACAGGGATGGACAGATACACTGAAGAAACATGGATGGACACAAGGACAGATAAACTGGACACTGGATGGACACAGTGAACAGATAGATAGTGGCACTGGATGGAAACACACAGGATAAGGACAGAGTGGATGTAGGAAAGACACTGATGGCACACAGGGACAGATAGGTGTGAAGAAAAGAATGATGGAAACACAGTGGATAAATAGATAAAGACACCATGGAAACACACAGGTGATAGATGTAAAGAAGCAATGAGATGTGAAGAATATATGGAAGACAGAAGAATGGATGGAAACACACAGTGTGGACAGATAGGTGGAGAAAAGAAACATGGATAATATAGTGGATAGATAGATGGAGGGCTATACACTGGATGGGAAAGAAGGATAGATGTAAGAAAATAACTGGATGGTATAGATAGATGGGTGAAGACATAATGGATGGTGAATATAGAGATGCACTGGATGGCACATGGGTGGTGGATAGAGATGGAAGGTGCACCAATGGCATGGCAGGGTGGAGCAAAGAATGGATGGATTAATGGTGGTGGACTGATGGATAGGGAGGATGGTGGACAGAGGTGGTAGAGTGGTGGACAGTGGACATGGTGGACGGATAGATGGATGGAGGTATGACAGATAGGTGTAAGGTTATACACCGATGGGTTAATACAGGTAAGGACAGATAGATGTAAGGTTGTACACCGATTGGGTTGGATACAGGTAAAGACAGATAGGTGTAAGGTTATACAACGATGGGTTAATACAGGTAAGGACAGATAGGTGTAAGGTTATGGATGGTGGACAGATAGATGGAGGGCTATACACCGATGGGTTAATACAGGTAAGGCCAGATAGATGTAAGGTTATACACCGATGGGTTAATATAGGTAAGGCCAGATAGATGTAAGGTTATACACCGATGGGTTAATACAGGTAAGGCCAGATAGATGTAAGGTTATACACCGATGGGTTAATACAAGTAAGGACAGATAGATGGAAGGTTATACACCAATGGGTTAATACAGGTAATACAGGTAAGGACAGATAGGTGTAGGGCTGTATACCGGAGGATTAATGCAGGTAAGGACTGATGGATATGTGGAGGATGGTGACTGACAGATGGCGGTAAGGGCAGATGTATATGTGGAGGTTGGTGACTGACAGATTCATGGAGGTAAGGACACATATATATGTGGAGGGGTTTTGACTGACAGATTGATGGAGGTAAGGACAGATGTATATGTGGGGGAAGTTCACTGACAGATTGCTAGAGGTAAGGACAGATGGATATGTTGAGGGTGGTGACTGACAGATTGATGGAGGTAAGGACAGATGCACATGTGGGGGAAGTTCACTGACAGATTGATGGAGGTAAGGACATATGGATATGTGGAGGGTGGTGACTGACCGATGGATGGAGGTAAGGACATATAATTATACGGATATGGAGGAAGTGGACTGACAAATGGATAGAGGTAAGGGCAGATGTGTATGTGGAGAAATGTTAACTAACAGATGGATGGAAGTAAGGACAGATGGATATGCTGAGGAACTTCATTGACAGATTGATAGATGTAAGGTCAGATATGTGGAGGGTGGTGACTGACAGATTGACGGAGGTAAGGACAGATATACGTGTGGAGGGGCGTTGACTGGCAGATTGATGGAGGTAAGGACAGGTATATATGTGGAGGGTGGTGACTGACAGATTGATGGAGGTAAGGACAGATACATGTTTGGAGGGTGGTGACTGACAGATTGATGGAGGTAAGGACAGATGGATATGTGGAGGGTGGTGACTGACAGATTGATGGAGGTAAGGGCAGATGGATATGTGGAGGATGTTGACTGACAGATTGATGGAGGTAAGGACAGACATATATGTGGAGGGTAGTGACTGACAGATTGATGGAGGTAAGGGCAGATGGATTAGTGGAGGGGTGGTGACTGACAGATTGATGGAGGTGAGTGAGTGAGTGAGTTTAGTTTTACCCCGCACTCAGCAATATCCCAGCTATATGGCGGCGGCCTGTAAATAATCGAGTCTGGACCAGACAATCCAGTGATCAACAGCATGAGCATCGATCTGCGCAATTGGGAACCGATGACATGTGTCAACCAAGTCAGTGAAACTGACCACCCGATCCCGTTAGTCGCCTTTTACGACAAGCATAGTCGCCTTTTATGGCAAGCACATGGGTTGCTGAAGACCTATTCTACCCCGGATCTTCACGGGTCAGATTTATGGAGGTAAGGGCAGATGGATATGTGGAGGATGTTGACTGACAGATTCGTGGAGGTAAGGACAGACATATATGTGGAGGGTAGTGACTGACAGATTGATGGAGGTAAGGGCAGATGGATATGTGGAGGATGTTGACTGACAGATTGATGGAGGTAAGGACAGACATATATGTGGAGGATGGTGACTGACAGGTTGATGGAGGTAAGGACAGACATTTATGTGGAGGGTGGTGCCTGACAGATTATCGCAGTGAGTACAGATGTATATGTGGGGACTGTTCACTGACAGATTCATAGATGTAAGGTCAGATATATATATATTAGGAAGTTCACTGACAGATTTATGGAGGTAAGGACAGATATATATGTGGAGGGTGGTGACTGACAGATTGATGGAGATAAGGACAGATGGATATGTGGAGGATGATGACTGACAGATTGATGGAGGTAAGGACCGAGGTATATGTGGGGGAAGTTCACTGACGGATTGATGGAGGTACGGAAAGATGTATATGTGGAGGGGTCTTTAATGACAGCTTGATGCAGGTAAGGACAGATGGATACGTCGATGGTGGCGACTGACAGATTGATGGAAGTAAGGACAGATGGATATGTGGAGAGGTGTTGACTGTCAGATTAATGGAGGTAAGGACAGATGCATATGTGGAGAGTGGTGACTGACAGATGGATGGCGGTAAAAACATGGATATGTGGAGATATAAATGTGTAGGGGTGTTCACTGAAAAATGGATGGAGATAAAGACAGATATATATGATTGGGTAATTGATCTACAGACCGATCGATGGAGGGGTGTTGACATAGGTGTGAATAGATTAAGGAGAGATTCATAGGTGGTGGGAGATGCACGAGTGTCAATAGATGAACTGAGGGGCAGGAATATTGATGATAGGTGGGTCAGCGGTACAATGGATGAACACTGCTGTTGCACAACACATTCTTGTTTACAACTTTGTTAAAGATCTGGTTCTTTCTTTCTTCACTTTGCAGGTATTCGATGGCGAAACAAGAATGGTTTCAAGTTGATCTTTCCAGAGCCAGCTCAAGTGAAATGAACATATTATCACCCATTCACCATGTAACTAGAAGCATGTTTGAGTATATATTATATATATAAGCAATGATGGCGTTAATGGAACCAGACGATAGCAAAGAGTCGGTCAAACCAGAACTTGGAATGTTTGACGGACCAGGCGAAAAAATGGCATCTGAAGAACAGCGCCACGTCCTGGAGATTTCCATCTCCGTATTGTCTGTCATCGTTGCAGTCTTCGTGATCTGGTGGATCAGACGATGCTGTAAGAAACGTCTCAGCACACCAACACCTGTCCCAGCTATATATGATCCTTACAATCTTCCCGCCCCAGCAACATCTCCTGCCTTGGTCCCCTCGTTTAGAGCCCCATTGGGTTCTATGGAGGTGTTCAACGACTTAATCCCCTTGCTGTTGGTTACGAATCTAGTGACCATGCTTGTCACCTCCACCAAGGAGAACATCATCCAGGAATTCCTGATACAGTTGTGTGTGGTGAGGGCAGACATGGTTTCGAAGACCAAGGGGAGGCCAATGCAAGATATGATAGTGGATATCCTGTGAGTGAACAGAACACAGATCACGATTCTCTTCACATCGATCCACTACTGTTTGAAGCAGGAATACAAGATCTGTTCATTGTAACTGAAAGAAGTATCATGAAAACTGTGGCTGATAAGCTGGTGGTAATGGTAGCCCATCTGGTTGACCACAGAGGGGATGTTCTTATTCTCGACAATATGGGTATATCTCTACGTGTTCCTCCTGGTGCCATCCCCAGAGGTCAGAAGCAGGTAATGACTCTAGTTCTCGTTTGGGACTTGGGAGACAGTCCTGAAATGGAACCATATCAAGCTCTTGTTAGTCCTGTAGTGTATTGCGGGCCTCATGGTCTAAAACTAAATGAGCAATGCATCCTATCGTATAGACACTGTGCGTATGATCCGGCAAGCATCAAAATTATGGTGAGTGAAACCGAGCTGACGCATCAGAAGGAATGGAACGTTTTGTGTGAGGCTAAGGAAGAGGCTGGCAAATGTGTAGTGACTCAAGACGAGTGTCAGGTGAAGCTGGACCACTTCAGTCTGCTGAGCAGCATACAGTGTCGTCCTGATTCACACTTTAGCAAGAAATGGATCCAGATAGCTGTGTTCAGCAGTCCACTGCAACCGGACGTTGACCATTACCAGATCAGGGTATACTTTCTGAACAAAACACCATGTGCGTTGGAGTGGGCAATCAACAATGAGTCTCAGTTTGGTAGTAAAAAGTGCTGTCCTGAGAAAGTGTTCCTATACAGTGGTAATGCTGAGGATATGTTACTGTCAATTGCCTACTTATCTGAAAGGTGGGCATGCATTGACGGATGTGAGACCCAGAGGGTCCCATTTATAAACATTTGGCACGGGAAGTGCCCTCACCTATCTATGTGTTTCAAAAGAATTGGCGACTACAGCCTGAGAGCTGAAGAAATCAACATCCACCTCCTCGCATACCAGGACGGGCGCGACAACGAAAGCGAGAGGTTAATCATCCATATGACTGAAATTCATAAAGGATTATCGGAATCTGGTCTCAAAAACGTCACAATACGGATCCCTGGATCCAACCCATGCAGTACCGGAGCATCGATGGTTCAGGTGAGTAGAAAAAATCACAACGGAACTTCCGTTGATGTCAGGATCGACAACCAAGAACCCCACTTCAGTTTGGACGAAGTACAGGCCTCTATGGCTCAGAGGAACATTTTTTTCCCTGATGACCTGAAACGGGATTTAATGATACTTCTTGACCCACGAAGTCCGTTGGGCAACGACTGGAGGGCTTTAGCATCTCAGCTCTCCCTCGACCAAGTCATCACGTTTCTTGAGTCAATAAGGACAAGTCAAACACTGGCTCTCCTCCAGCACATGGAGCAGAAGGGGGCGTGCATGGTATATCTGCAACGGGTGCTGACTGATATAGGGAGGCTAGACGCATCGAATTTGGTTGCAGAGTACATCAATAACTTGGGAACACAGCAGCAACGTGACACAGTTCCAAAGGTCCCTGTTGAATCGGAGCTCGTGACCTGAAAGTCCTATAATGGTCCAGATGCTGTGACACTATGAATCACAGTTCATTCGTTGGTCATGATCAAATGTCCAGAAACTTAATGAAGCTCGGAAACACAGAGAAACTGTCCTTGGAGTATATTCTTCTCATCAGCAAATATGAAGATCTGTGATCCTCGTGTTGTAGACAAATGACGCAAAATGTTTTTTTCTGAAGAAGACAGACGATTCTGTTCGTCATGGTTATGTGATAGTTGGTTCCTGTGAAACTGAAGGAACGACTATGTACGTATAAGGGAATACGATACAGTAAATAACATGAACACTTACATTTAAACAACTACTGTCGTGACCATGCTGACTACAGGAAAGAGTTGACATTCTTCGAGTTATCAATAGTTCGATACAGCAATTTCAATGTGAATGTTCCTTGCATAATAAAGCGCCTTGAGGTGTGTAGTTAAGAGTGGAGGTTTTTCACTACTGCCTTGTTTGGAGACAGTACCCGCTGAAGCATTACACACAGATGTAGTAATATTAGAGGAAATCTGTTTGTGTCTTTCGAAAAACTGCACCCAAATCAGCTGACACAAATCATGAGATTAGACAGTTAACACTTGGATAACCAAGAAACAGTGTACCGTTAAATTGGACTATATTCTAGTTTCTGCGAAATTCTACTGTTACTAGAAGCTGCGAATTCACTGTTTTATCGTGAATTCAGTTGGTACGGATACATAATCTGAATTGCTACGTGTTATCTATGGTTTTCATGGAGGGCGGATGTGTGTGTTTTTATGTTTGTTTGTTTGGGTTTGTGTTTTGTTGTTGTTGTTGTTGTTGTTTGTTTTGTATTTTGACTTTATTTGTGTTTAGGGATTGTTTTTTGTTTGTTTAAACGCCGAGCTCAGTAATATTTCAGCTGTAATTATGATCGTAGTCATATTTTGAAACTTAATCCAGTCATTACTCTCTTCTACGCATCGTATACGGTGTCGTACATTACCCATGTCAGTGAGCCTAACCAACTGGTCCCAATATTCATCTCCAGCGAGATATGATTTGCTGAAGATCTCTTCCGACACGAATCTCAACGGGCATTTTTCCACATAGTTTTAATTAGGTGTTATAACAGTTCAGTAACTGCCTTGTAAATAAATTAGTATTGAATGTGATACCTAAATAGAACTTGATGTTTGGTGATATCACAAACGTGGAATACAAAGACACTTTTATTTAGACCAAAGCAGTATGTTGACTAATATTCTTAAGAAAAATTTTAACGTAATCCACTGTGGACGTTAAGTAATCCTCTAATCTGAGGTGTTTTCAAGACTCCTGACGGAAAGAAAATATATAAAATTATTAAGAAGAAGAACGTTCGCAATTTAACAGAGAATACTATGGTTTAACAACTCATAGATGCATTTGTTGTACGATTGCATTTCTAAAATCGCAAAGCATTTTTCCTCCAAACCGGCATCCTATTGGGTATCCATATCAGGGAACTGAACAAACAGGGATAAGTATTTATTCTTTACAAACAAATTTTAAATACGGGATATTTATTTGATTAGACTTCAGAAGGACAAATATCATATGACAGCCTGAGGGTATTATCTTTATACCTGTTTTTCCCACAGCAATCCATTTCCACCCGCGCAATACAGGGGGCATGGGAGAGACAGACTGACTGGGGTGTTATTGGTAGTTGGATGTTCAAGTGTTCGCTTTGAGAGCTTCCTTGATTCGTTCTACTTGAATCAATGCGTCGTGATGTTTTGTTGTCTGTGTAAGGGTAAAGTAAATGACCAACGTAAGTCTAAGATGATGAAGTAGCAAGCACACACTCGCAAGCGTCATGTTATTCACAATAAAGAAGTTGACATCCATAAACCTTGCTTTTCTTATGAAATACCCTTCAAAGATTTCAACAACAGTCTATTAACGAACTCTGATTTTCATTAATAATTCAATGAAAGTTTTTACATTAATTTACCTTTCGAGACAAGTGAAATAAGTTTGGATTGATTATTTTTTACGTTGACATCTTATTTTTTATAAATACATTTTGCGTTTGTGCGTCATGTATGGAAAGCTATTTCACATTTGTCTTGTGTGTTGTGCATGTAACATAACAGCTGTTTCGCACTGATTGTTATCGACTGTCACTCAGAAGGGATATTGTCGTAATCACCGTTTGCATCGAAATGTCCATGGCCTCGCTGTTAAATATATGAAAAGGATCCGGGTTAGAATTGATATTCAGTAACCCATGCTCGTCGTAAAAGGCGACTAACAGGATCGGGTGGTCCGGCTCCTTGACTTGGTTGACACATGTCATCGTACCCCAATTGCGTAGATCGATCCGATCACTGGATTGTCTGGTCCAGACTCGATTATTTACATACCGCCTTCATATAATATTGTAATATTGCTGAGTGCGTTAAACAACAAACAAACAAACAAACAAAATATGTGAAAAGCGGAAAGTGTTTACAATAACAAGTGGCGTAAATGGGAATCTTAAAGAGTTATGCATGTTAATCTGAGCTTGACGGTGTGTAATATTACGCTTGCAAATATTTATATGATGTTCAGACACTTTTTAAATATAATAGTGTTTATATATTCACGGGAGTTTATATTTGTCTCTAGACGTATTCATGATTTTGCTAGTCCCAGACAATTATATCGTGTTTATATACTAGTCGCGTGCTTCTACAGATGTTAAATCAGCCCCGTGGTTCGGCACATGACATGGGGAGAGAGAGGGAGATTTATAAGTGCCTCAGATAATGTCTCGTACGTTCAATGCTGAGTGACTGTTTTATAATTGTTTATTTCGATAAATATTTTGTGTGTTTTTGCAGTGATTATGTATATGGCCATAACATGTTTATTGGCAACATAAGGTAGTGATTGGGTGAGTGAGTGAGCGAGCGAGTATGGTTTTACGCCGCTTTTAGCAATATTCCAGCAATATCACGGCGGGAGACACCAGAAATGGGCTTCACACATTGTACCCATGTGGGGAATCGAACCCGGACATAAGGTAGAGATATTAGAGTATGCAAGTGTAAAGTGAACCACGGTTAGACAACGACGTATCACATAAACTGCCTTACACGACAGACCTGACACGTTATAGAATGAGAATCAAACACGAGTTTTAGACGTGACGAACGAATGCAATGTCTGCTAGGCTAACATTAACTAGTTAACTAAGTTAAAAGAATACTCGACGTCTTGTATATAATGACTAAAGTTAATCTTAACTCTATAGATTAACTTCATTTATATGAAACAATCCTCGAATTTCGTAGCACATTGAACATGTATGTGTATTCGGGTAATATGTTAACTCTTTTGACACGAATGGACTCTGTTGTCTCGATGTGAAACAAAATATTCTTTTGTTTCTCTAAATACAGGATTATACCGTCTTATTGAGAATACTGGAAGGCAGTATTGTAAAGGAACTGTTTCCATTTCTTACATAACTCATTTTATTTTTCTAGATAAATCAGATGTGTAGAAGTTTTAACGTGTATGTCAGAGCTTTATTTTAGCTGGTTTTTGTCTCGGTACGTAATTATTCTTGCTTAACTATTTCCTACATATCCCAGTTGCGTAGATCGATGTTGATCACTGGATTGTCTGGTCCAGACTGGATTATTTACAGTCCGCGACCATATAGCTGGAATATTGCTGAGTGCGGCGTAAAACAACCATCGATCAATTAATACCCAGCAAACTCATGTACCGTACACGAGTCAACTCATATTACTAGCTGACCCGTGAAGATCCGGCTTAGAACTGGTCTTCAGCAACCCATGCTTGTCGTTAGAGGCGACTAACGGGATCGGGTGGCCAGGCTCGCTGACTTGATTGACACGTCATCGGTTCCCAATTGCGTAGATCGATGCTCATGCTGTTGATCAATGGATTGTCTGGTTCAGACTCGATTATTTACAGACCGCCGCCATATAGTTGGAATATTGCTGAATGCTGCGTAAAGCTAAACTCACTCACTCACTCACGCACGCATGTTACTATACACCAATACATCGGCTTTGATACAAGAACATACATCTTTGAAAATGATAAAGGTCACACCACTAGATTATCATTCAAGTATTGATATCGTTTTATATCTATGAACAGTGAGACCAAGAGTATTAAACCACTAAATGTACTTTACTTTCTTTTTAACCCTTAGATTATACATTTACATGAGATGTGTTTTTTAAGTTGGTAATTATTGGGTTTGTTGATGTATGTTCTGTTTTTATATGGGTCGACGGTAGAGCTGGTGATGATAGGGTATTTTTTCAGAAAACATTCCATGTGCTTGTTACGATGTTTTAATGATCAGTTTCGCAGAGGTCTTATTAGAGGGCGTGGGCAGTAGCTCCTTGTACTTTTCCTTACGTTCCTAGAATACTGGAATATTTTTGGGTAAAACACGTGTCTGTTACAAAGCATATTGTGATATATTGTGATAGTTACGTTTTTGGCAGAACAGAATTTGAGGTAGCGTTATTAATTCCACTGTGTCAGTTGTTCTGTATTAATGTTCATATTCGAGTAGCCTATAATGCACAACCCCAACTCATTATTCTGATCATGTTTTTCTTTTATGACGTTTTGAATAATGCATGCTGAATTTCAGGGCAGTGGGGTAGGCTAGTGGTTAAAGCGTTCGCTCGTCACGCCGAAGACCCGGGTTCGATTCCCCACATGGGTACAATGTGCAAAGCCTATTTGTGGTGCTCCCGCCGTGATATTGCTGGAATATTGCTAAAAACGGTGTAAAACTAAACGCACTCACTCATCCACTTCATCTCTCAACCCCGTACATGTACAAATGAGTTTTTGATAACCACTGATGTTTTCAATCACCTAACGTGGACACCATTCTATTGTGCGAAAGGGTTATTGTAAAGTGCAGTTATATCTGAAGTTATATGTGTTGGTTGTATTTTCAAATGTATTACATTTAAGTCTGTAGAAACTGCTGGTCAGATTAACTAAACCGCCGGGCAAAAGAAAACATGCGCATTTTTTATGCTGGCTAAACATTAATCTAACACGAAACGGCCATACGATTATGGTGTCTTTGATACGGATAGCATTCTTGTGTCTTGTGTCTTGAATGTTTTGGTCAAGTCAAATTCACAGGTGCATTATTCCTTAACCCGGAGGTTTAGTCCTACAGAATGTGATTTTATTTGAATGTGTTTGATAAAAGATTATAATTATTTTTGATACTACCAAAATATACCCTGAGCGAATATTCGCAATAAAGCCATGGTTGTGATTGTTGCGTTGTGTTTGTGTACAATGTCGTGAATAGTAAAGCTCCCATAAATCCCAACATCCCCTTATATTGCCTGGATTAGTTTTGTTCACACTTCCGATTCGTTTTGTTCGTGGCATTATTCGTATAACTATCTGTCGAACGGTTTGTTGTTTTGTTTTTTCTAACAAATCGAGCCAAACTTCGTTGTGTCAGAGCGGCAGGGACCTGCGTGAACATTCGGGTTATCCGATGTTCGACACAACCGAGAAATTATGATTAAAGAAGGCATACAAAGAGACAAAACTTCTTTTTTTTCGAGAAGTTCGACTCATCAAAGTGTTTCACTGCAGTGTGTTCGACAAGATGAAAACCCTGAATATAATGATTTGCCTTCCTTTCAGACGATACATATGTGGTTTGAGGTATTTACTGCAACCTATTCTGACGAAGAAACTATATCACTCTTATTTGTCCACATAGAATTAGAACGTGTGTTTTTAAATAGTTTTGTAATGAAAGTTGCGATTATATATTTTGGACCATTTTATGAACGCTTCTTTCATTCTGTATTTCTCTGGCACGAGAATTTAACAGCTGAAGAAAGGCGAAGCATAGTCTTAAAATAACCTAAACTTACTGATAATTCTGTCTGGTATGGTATATTTCGAGTCATTGAAACTAAATATAGTGAAAAGAACTAGTTCAGCCTAATTCAGATTTCGTACATGTTTTCTGTGGGTTAAACGTTTTTCTGTCCTTTCTCCCGTCGGTTTACAGCGTCCAAAATAATCCAGTTTGTTCTAAATATAGAGACAAATACTCGTTCAGTCTAATTTATATTTTGTACATGTTTTCTGTGGGTTGAAACATTTTTTCTGCACTCACTCCCTAAGGTTCGTAGTATTCAAAATTATCCAGTTTTTCAATATGTTCATCTTTCCACTTACCCGTGAAGATCCGGGTTAGAATGAACCTTCAGTAACCCATGCTTGTTGTAAGAGGCGACTAACGGGATCGGGTGGTCAGACTCGCTGACTTGGTTGATACATGTCATCGGTTCCCATTTGCGTAGATCGATGCTCATGTTGTTGATCACTGGATTGTCTGGTCTAGACTCGATTATTTACAGACCGCCGCCATATAGCTGGATAATTGCTGAGTGCGGCGTAAAACTAAACTCATTCACTCACTCATCTTTCCACTTGTTTCAATAACATTTGCTCTTGCCAATCTAATGTACGCGGGAATATTAGTTTCCCCTAAATACAGGCTCACTTTGTTCTCCTGGATAGAGATGGCACCAGGGATGAGAAATTATAAAAAGTGCTTTCCTGAATGCACATCCTTTAAAATTGCTCCCGTACTTAACTATATTATACGATTCGTTGTCATTTCCCCAAACCAGTCTTTGACACAGATAAATCTAGTAACAACTGTTTTATCTGATTAAACAAGCCTAAACCGGAGTCACTGCCACGAGAACAGAACATGCGTGACATTGAAATTATACCTACATGTTGAGGGGTCACAGATAAGAATATACTTCACTTCTTTCGGTACGACACCGGGATCATGAAGTGGTGTTTCTTTTTATTCGTGGTCATCGCAGTTGTTGTCGCTGTCGACTCGGTGTTTCTGCAGAATTATGGTAGTGTAGAGGACAGCGCGGTCATTGGTTTGGGGTTGTATTTTCTAGATATGTTTCTGTAAATATAACCATGACGGCTCCTGCTGTTTTAATACGTCGAACGTTTAATACGCGTGGCCTGTTTGTCGCAGTCCTGAAATCACTTCCTTGAAGCCAATTATCCCGATTACGATATCGAAAGGTTTCTGCCCGAATATGTTTCTTGTTCTGTCTTTGTTTGTTGTTTAACGCCACACTCAGCAATATTCCAGCTATATGGCGGCGGTCTGTAAATAATCGAACTTGGACCAGATAATCCAGTGACAGCAGGAGCATCGATCTACGCAATCAGGACGATAATATGTCTCAACCTAGTCAGAGAGCCTGACCACCCGATCCATTAGTTGCCTGTTACGACAAGCATAGGTTGCTGGAAAAAAACATTCCTAGCCCGGATCTTCACGGGTTCTGGTTTGCCAGAACCATAGTTACCCAGACTGGTGGGTTTCACCAAAGTTCTTAGACCGACATCACTCTGGGCTTTCTTCCATAAGGCGCCGTGATGGAACTTCAATACTGTTCAACGTGCGTTATATCCCAACTCGCTCACATTATCTGAACAGCGAAAGGCGACTCTTCCGTTACACAGAGATCCACCGTCACTGACGCCGTCGGTCACTTACACCGTCGGTACCCGTGAAGATCAGGGTAACGATTGGTCTTCAGCAATCAATGCTTGGGGTCAAAAGGCGACTAACGAGATCAGGTGGTCAGGCTCGCTGGCTTCGTTAATGCATGTCCAAATTGCGCACATCGAAGCGCATCATGATAATCACTGGATTATAAGTCCCGGAGACGATTATTTGCCAACCGTCGTCGTCTTATAGCTAAAGCATTGCTGAGTTCGGCGTTAAACAACAAGCAATCGAACACAAGCATACCGTTTGCTTCTTCTTTTGATTATTAGCAACTCATGTTACTATACAAACATAAGCAATAAAACACGAACGAACTATCTATAGTTATTTGAACGATTTAATGAGCGTGCTCATAATGCCCCCTTCATACGTGACTATCGTCATATTAGGCACATTGCTTGAACATGTCCAGGGTATATTGGTGGTATAGTGTACCCATTAAGGACTGATTAATGGTATCAATGAAATCAGACCTTAGGGAATTTATCCATGAAACATTTGACCAGGAACCTGCCAGCATCGTTGTTACACGCCGAGCGACTACATCAAGCCGTGTCAGTGCGACTCCGACTGCGAATCTTTCAACAACTGCTGCAACGACTTCTGGAGACTGTGCAGAGGTGGGTACTTTAGGGCACAAATTGAACCATGCTGTTGATTGTTTACAGATGGTTAGTGCTAGATTCAAGAAGGTCTGTAACCGAAGATCTTCGAGCATATATCTTACAATGACATCTCCCTTTGCGGAGGATTTGCCCTTTCCATACTCTAGAAAGGGAGTAGCTTTGTCAACAACCGAGGTTTTTGGATCATTTATCTGACCATCGTGACAGGTAAGTTTACAGCTGATTTACACTTTCCGAGACTGTGCAAGGGAGTAACGCTTGTCTGCAGCTGCTACTCGTTTTGTCTGACTGAAGCAAGCCAATCTCTTAAAGCCATAGACGAAATTCTTATTTCACTACAATACTTGTTTTATGTCTGTATAAGAAACACCACTTCAAATTCACACAATTGGTACGTAAATTAAATATTTATGTATAATTTAAATAATAATATTTGTTTTTACACCTATATAAAAAGTATGGCTATCCTGCAAGGAACCTGTGGGAAATATAAAAAATCACTTAGTGAGGTAACATACCCTGCAACTAGGGACGCTTAATGTAATATGAATACTACTGAGAAAAGAATGAATATTTTCCAGGATCTGAGATTGGGCTGGTGGTTACCCAAAATGAATTGAACACATTCGCCCAACAGCTGTGGGACAGCGATGACAACAGAATAAACAGCTCCCTCTACACACTCAACTACCAGGGGAATACAACACAAAATGAAGAAACGGACATGGCAACGGACAAGTAAATGCTTTCTGTTTTCAGTGACTGCCCCTTGCTTTGTATCTTAATTTGGATGATAAAATGTGCAAGTTAAAACATTTGAATCATGGTGAATCCAACGACAACTTTTTTGTTCAGTATTAACTAATGGGTTGCGGTTTTTAAATTAAATTACGGATTTGCTATGAACAAGTGAAGTTGTGTCTATCTTACTGGAATATTTTGTTTCTTGAATTCGATTTACCATATAACTGTACATGTTCATAGTATGAAATGTCTCATTATCGAAATTGAATTCAAAAGTTTACGAAAATTTGTTTACTTTCCCATGAAGTGAATGAGTGTGGTTTTACGCCGCTTTTAGCAATATTCCACCAATATCACGGCGGGGACACCAGAAATGCACTTCACACATTGTACCCATGTGGGGAAACGAACCCCGGTCTTCGGTGTGACGAGCGGACACTTTAACCACTAGGCTACCCCACCGCCCCTTCACACATACAGTGTATGTTAAGAATGAGGTCAGATTTTATATATACGTTTCTGGCATGGCAGCGTATACAATAACTGAGAGTATGTTTTGAACAGATTCCTCACGCCTGTCGATGGCCAGCTGGACGCCTTGCTGTCCAAAGCCAATTCTACATATGCGTTGTTTATTCAACTACTGGACAACTACGAACTGAATGTCCATCAGTCTGAACACCGCCCTCTGGTGGAGATTCAAGAGGAGGATGCCTTCTGGGCCGTGGCGTCCCAGACAAGGGTCATGCAGCTTGCCGCTAAGTTTCTCCTTGATAACGGTAAATTTTGTCAGAGTTTATCGATCTTGTAAAATGTCATCTGCAGATTTATCATACGAGTGACATTTAATACACTTTAAAGAGGCATTATGTTCCAGCATCTGGTCACTTTTCATCACAATTCCGTGATATTGTTGGATAATTGCTAAAATCGGCGTTAAACCATACTCACTCACTTTTCAATATAAATCTTGACGTTGTTGTCAATGTTTTGAGTGAAATAGGACACTGTCTCACTGTAATGTAAGTAATTCATTACTTGTTCACTTTGTAACCAACGTTTGAAGTCAACATTCACAAGAGTCGCCTGTTTCCCATCTGTTGTGACTATTAATGTTCCAGACTCTAGTAGGGGCGGTGGGGTAGCCTAGTGGTTAAAGCGTTCGCTCGTCACGCCGAAGACCTGGGTTCGATTCCCCACATGGGCACAATGTGTGAAGCCCATTTCTGGTGTCCCCCGCCGTGATGTTGCTGGAATATTGCTAAAAGTGGCGTAAAACTAAACTCACTCACTCCAGGCTCTAGTCCATGCTTTAAAAAGTATAAATGATCAATCATCCACAGTACCATTGAAACAAAAAACAACATTTTGTTGTTGTTTATTCTTACGCCAAACTTGAAATATAACTTAGCTGATCTAATAGTTGATGGGTTATTTGGTTGCGCTAATTTCGCTGTCACTTCAAATAAATGTCCTCTGATGTACACGTTTCAGGACAGATGGTGTTTTTTTATAATTTTATTATATTTAACGTGTGAATTGTCATAAAAGGTAAGGGGAGGTGGGAGAGGCTAGTGGTTAAAGCGTTCGCTCGTCACCCCGAAGACCCGGGTTCGAGTCCCCACTCACTCATTATATCACGCGGATTTGCTTCAAGAAAACTGCTAAAAGCGGCGTAAAACTAAACTCACTCATAAAAGGTAAACCAAGAATACGCCTTGTTGTTGCAGAGTGAATGAAGCTGGAGTAGGCTGGTTGTAATGTTTTTACGTGGTCTTGTTTGACGTTTCAGGCCACATGCTGTTGTTTTTAAATTTATACTTAAAGTGTGAATTGTCATAAAAAGTAAACCAAGAATACGTCATGACCTGGTTATTGCAGAGCGAATGAATAGATAGAGTGACTGTAATGTTTTAACGTGGACTTGTTTGACAAGTCTCGAGCTCCGATTCTTTCCTTCAGTTACAGAAAAAATATTGCTGAATGAGGAGTAATTTAATTAACATTCAATCATCATGGCCCTGTTGATATATTTATCTCTGACTCTGACATTCTCTTTTGCAATTTCTCAATTAACCTACTAACACCACACATCATCTTATTTGCGAAAAAGTACATCCATATATCAATTATCTAACAGAATAAGTTGTCAATTGAAAGTTTTATCAATATTGTTTATGTTTAAAGTTGAAAAAATCATTGCCTTCATTTCATGCTAAATGGAAACAAACAGCTGAACAATATATGGCACTCCTCAATGTGTCGTCATGTCAATAATATTTTACGTACGCTTCAACTGTTTTATGAGACCAATGACATTGCTGACATTAATGTACACCTGCTGAACAGAAATGAATAATAGAAAATTAAGAACAACAAAAACACATTCAATAACTCATTATGGTCTTGTATACTAATTAATATTCACTCTTCAGGGTTCATCAAAGCAGATCCGCACGCCTTCAGGACGGTTATTAATGAGATGTGGTTCGAGATGTACAGCCACTATTCCGTGCAGCTGAAGAGTCACAAAAACAGCGGCTTTGAGCATATAATGATTGGAGAAAAGTCGCAAAACACGCATCAAAATGCACATAACGTCTCCAATCACATCATGGGGTTGAACAACTGGATACAGTTCTACCTGCTGGAGAAAGCGGAGACTATTGACTACCACGGTTATCTGTCCTACCTACAGGTGGGTGAATGTGGTTGTAGGCCTCCTTTATGAATATTCCCGCTACCGCGTATATCACCGTGGTGGACACCAGAAATATGCGGAATATATTCTGGACATCGACTTGACGCTCGAAAACTAGAAACTCTTGACGATCCCATACCATACATCCCTAGAATTTCTTACATTTCTCTTTATATATGCACGAAAAATAGTATTGGCTTTAAAATGGACTATTTCGTTCTGAATTTGGTATAGAAAATGTATTCTGTCATAATTAGTTACATTTCTCTTTATATATGCATGATAAAAAGTATTGGCTTTAAAATGGACTATTTCATTCTGAATTGGGTATAGAAAATGTATTCTGTCATATATATGATGACGAAAGCTATCTCCTTTTGAATTTGTATTTGGGTAGAATTGACAAATTGTGGATGTGTCACACATTGTATCATTGAACAATTATCGGATGTTTAAATATTTAATGTGATTTTACTGGACGTTTTCATGTGGTCAATCATTGCATTCAGTTTCTGTTTAAATATTCCCTCTGTTGTTGTAAACTTAAGTCCTCGTTTCCATGGTTTCAGGACCCTCCTTTGGTGAGTATCCAGTTCCAGTGGAACGATGCCATGGGAAGGAAGAAAAACTTCTTTGTTGGAACAAGTCCCGAGTTTGACATGGCGCTGTACACTGTGTGCGGGCTCGTCCACCCTAACAAGCCCTGTCACGTGACAATCAATGGACAGAACATCACCATCAAGGCTACGACGTCACGCTACCAATCCACCCTTCAGCTTACAGGAGCTGCCCCTTCCTTTACAGGTAGCGTCTGATCGATGGTGTCAGATCCATATCGCTTTTGATGATAGCGAAATAAATTTTAAAACATGTTGCATTGTTGTGCTTATTTTCGTCGTTTCACTGTTTGTACAATTTATGATACTCTAAACGTTTTAAGTTAAAAGTGTTCCAATGGAGCACTAAAAGAGTCTCTTAACAATCTACATTCATAACAGACCTGGGACAGTTTGGTTTCCTTTGGTGCTCGTAATGCTTCATCTTCAGTAACCCAATGCATTCCATGTTTGCTAGTCTGTCTCACAGTCCCTGAACCACATTAATTTCCCTACTGCCAAGCTTTCTCTGCAGTGCTAAAGCCCTAAAAAAAGCAAGTCTAGATTTCCTCAGGTTCAGGATCTCTGGTCTCCCTAGGGCTCCTTATCAATATAAATGGGTTTGTTTGTTACTATCAAAATTATATATATTCAGAGACTAAGCCTTAGTCTACATGTTTGCTTGCATTGTGTTATTGTCTAACGCCGCACTCAGCAATATTCCAGCTATATGACGGCGGGTGTTGCTGCTTAATTTGTGTCTTATGTATGTCCCTGACGACAGGAATGAGTGGTCCTTGGAACTATTTTACTTTTGTTTATCAAAAACAGCAGTAATCTTCATATCAGCAACACACCCCAACCACTGCAGCTCCACATGTCCCAACCCGTGAAGGTCCGGGTTAGAATATTGATCTTCAGTAACCCATGCTTGTCGTAAGAGGCGACTAACGGGATCGGGTGGTCAGGCTCGCTGACTTGGTTGCCACATGTCATCGGTTCCCATTGCGTAGTTAGATGCTCATGCTGTTGATCACTAGATTGTCTGGTTCAGACTCGATTATTTATAACGATGCCGTTAACGTCAAGTCACGTTGCCCCACTACACGTCAGTTGTACAGTGACGCAACCGACCTGCTAGACATTCCATTTTACGGCATAATGTCAGTGGTTGAATTATTAAAACAGCTTCCCGATGCAAGGGAGGTAACTGGCTGTAATAGTCCAAGTTTCCACCCTTGCAGAACTAGGCTGGAATTATGGAGTTAGGCTTGACTAACTGGTCTGTACATAGTGCAGTCGAAATCACATAACGAATCCGACATCCGACATCCAATACTACCGTAGAGATGTCGGTGGATTGCAGGCTTCGCGGGGCAAGTGTACCGTCAACATGTTTTGGAAATCTTTTCATGATTTAATCAAAGAGGTCAAATTATTCGATGCCTTTCGCAAGGTACGACCCGTTTTATTTCGATAAAGATATTGATTACCTGTCACGTCATCTTGACTGGGCTCCGTCATTTTACTTGAAGCAAATCCTCGTGATACAGTGAGTGAGTGAGTATGGTTTTACGCCACTTTTAGCAATATTCCAGCAATATCACGGCGGGGGACACAAGAAATGGGTTTCACACATTGTACCAATGTAGAAAATCGAACCCGGGCCTTCGGGGTTGCGAGCCAACGCTTTATCCACTACACTAGGCTCACACTAGGTGTGGTGCGGGCAATTTGATGGAATTATATCATGACATGCCGATTAACCCAATACATGATCTGTACGACAGTTCCACATATAACACACACACAAAAAACTTGGAACTGAAAAGCCCACTTTTCGTCTTACTGGAAATAGTCACTTCAAACGGAACGTTGGCAAAGGAATGGACAGTGGCTCAGAATTGTTAAGAGCTCTTTTCTTATACAACCAGATGCAGTTTTCCAACAAGAACATCCCCAAGAACGTAAGTGTAGACGTACATGCCATCTGGCTGATTCAAGAGTATCAATAACAATATAGCATATCAGGATTACAGACATACAGATATGCCGTAGCATTGTAGCGTTCTTGCTGAATTACTTACGTTCACAATCCAAAGTCTGTCTTCACCTGCTCTTTATCAGTCTACCACACAGGCCCTCTTGTCTTTGCGACACATGCACTCCACTGGGAAGCATTTGGAGGTGGGGACCATCACAAATATTGGTTTATCTTTTTATAATTCTTTAATCCTCGCAAAGACACGAGACCTTTGGTCTCCCACAGCTCAGTGTACATGTGTCAGCTCAGTGTACATGTGTCAGCTCAGTGTACATGTGTCAGCTCAGTGTACAAGTGTCAGCTCAGTGTACATGTGTCAGCTCAGTGTACATGTGTCAGCTCAGTGTACATGTGTCAGCTCAGTGTACATGTGTCAGCTCAGTGTACATGTGTCAGCTCAGTGTACATGTGTCAGCTCAGTGTACATGTGTCAGCTCAGTCTACATGTGTCAGCTCAGTGTACATGTGTCAGCTCAGTCTACAAGTGTCAGCTCAGTCTACAAGTGTCAGCTCAGTGTACAAGTGTCAGCTCAGTCTACATGCGTCAGCTCAGTGTACATGCGTCAGCTCAGTGTACATGTGTCAGCTCAGTGTACATGTGTCAGCTCAGTGTACATGTGTCAGCTCAGTGTACATGTGTCAGCTCAGTGTACATGTGTCAGCTCAGTGTACAAGTGTCAGCTTAGTGTACATGCGTCAGCTCAGTGTACAAGTGTCAGCTCAGTGTACAAGTGTCAGCTCAGTGTACATGTGTCTGCTCAGTGTACAAGTATCAGCTCAGTCTACATGTGATTGCTCAGTGTACAAGTATCAGCTCAGTGTACATGTGATTGCTCAGTGTACAAGTATCAGCTCAGTGTACATGTGATTGCTCAGTGTACAAGTATCAGCTCAGTGTACATGTGATTGCTCAGTGTACAAGTATCAGCTCAGTGTACATGTGTTTGCTCAGTGTACAAGTATCAGCTCAGTGTACAAGTGTCAGCTCAGTGTACTGGTGTCAGCTCAGTGTACAAGTGTCAGCTCAGTGTACATATGTCAGCTCAGTGTAGAGGTGTCAGCTCAGTGTACATGTGTCAGCTCAGTGTACAAGTGTCAGCTCAGTGTACAAGTATCAGCTCAGTGTACATGTGTTTGCTCAGTGTACAAGTATCAGCTCAGTGTACATGTGTCAGCTCAATGTACATGTGTTTGCTCAGTGTACAAGTGTCAGCTCAGTGTACAAGTGTCAGCTCAATGTACAAGTGACTGCTCAGTGTACAAGTGTCAGCTCAGTGTACAAGTGTCAGCTCAATGTACATGTGTCAGCTCAGTGTACATGTGTCAGCTCAGTGTACATGTGTCAGCTCAGTGTACAAGTGTCAGCTTAGTGTACATGCGTCAGCTCAGTCTACATGTGTCTGCTCAGTGTACAAGTGTCTGCTTAGTGTACAAGTATCAGCTCAGTCTACATGTGATTGCTCAGTGTACAAGTATCAGCTCAGTCTACATGTGATTGCTCAGTGTACAAGTATCAGCTCAGTCTACATGTGATTGCTCAGTGTACAAGTATCAGCTCAGTCTACATGTGATTGCTCAGTGTACAAGTATCAGCTCAGTGTACATGTGATTGCTCAGTGTACAAGTATCAACTCAGTCTACATGTGATTGCTCAGTGTACAAGTATCAGCTCAGTCTACATGTGATTGCTCAGTGTACAAAGTATCAGCTCAGTGTACATGTGATTGCTCAGTGTACAAGTATCAACTCAGTCTACATGTGATTGCTCAGTGTACAAGTATCAACTCAGTCTACATGTGGATTGCTCAGTGTACAAGTATCAGCTCAGTGTACATGTGATTGCTCAGTGTACAAGTATCAACTCAGTCTACATGTGATTGCTCAGTGTACAAGTATCAGCTCAGTCTACATGTGATTGCTCAGTGTACAAGTATCAGCTCAGTGTACATGTGATTGCTCAGTGTACAAGTATCAACTCAGTCTACATGTGATTGCTCAGTGTACAAGTATCAGCTCAGTCTACATGTGATTGCTCAGTGTACAAGTATCAGCTCAGTGTACATGTGATTGCTCAGTGTACAAGTATCAACTCAGTCTACATGTGATTGCTCAGTGTACAAGTATCAGCTCAGTGTACATGTGATTGCTCAGTGTACAAGTATCAGCTCAGTCTACATGTGATTGCTCAGTGTACAAGTATCAGCTCAGTGTACATGTGATTGCTCAGTGTACAAGTATCAGCTCAGTGTACATGTGATTGCTCAGTGTACAAGTATCAGCTCAGTGTACATGTGTTTGCTCAGTGTACAAGTATCTGCTCAGTGTACAAGTGTCAGCTCAGTGTACTGGTGTCAGCTCAGTGTACATGTGTCAGCTCAGTGTACAAGTGTCAGCTCAGTGTACAAGTGTCAGCTCAGTGTACATGTGTCTGCTCAGTGTACATGTGTTAGCTCAGTGTACATGTGTCAGCTCAGTGTACATGTGTCAGCTCAGTCTACAAGTGTCAGCTCAGTGTACATGTGTCAGCTCAGTGTACATGCGTCAGCTCAGTCTACATGTGTCAGCTCAGTGTACATGTGTCAGCTCAGTCTACAAGTGTCAGCTCAGTCTACAAGTGTCAGCTCAGTGTACAAGTGTCAGCTCAGTCTACATGTGTCAGCTCAGTGTACATGCGTCAGCTCAGTGTACATGTGTCAGCTCAGTGTACATGTGTCAGCTCAGTGTACATGTGTCAGCTCAGTGTACATGTGTCAGCTCAGTGTACATGTGTCAGCTCAGTGTACAAGTGTCAGCTTAGTGTACATGCGTCAGCTCAGTGTACAAGTGTCAGCTCAGTGTACAAGTATCAGCTCAGTCTACATGTGATTGCTCAGTGTACAAGTATCAGCTCAGTGTACATGTGATTGCTCAGTGTACAAGTATCAGCTCAGTCTACATGTGATTGCTCAGTGTACAAGTATCAGCTCAGTGTACATGTGATTGCTCAGTGTACAAGTATCAGCTCAGTGTACATGTGTTTCCTCAGTGTACAAGTATCAGCTCAGTGTACAAGTGTCAGCTCAGTGTACTGGTGTCAGCTCAGTGTACGTGTCAGCTCAGTGTACATATGTCAGCTCAGTGTAGAGGTGTCAGCTCAGTGTACATGTGTCAGCTCAGTGTACAAGTGTCAGCTCAGTGTACAAGTGTCAGCTCAGTGTACATGTGTTTGCTCAGTGTACAAGTATCAGCTCAG